CCTTCATGTGTGTGCACAGAGAGGAAGTGTCCTGAAAAGCCTATGAAAGATCCCTGCTGTCTTCCATCGGCCTTGACTTCTACCTCAGCAGTCACTGCTGGCATTATGATTCTACATCAGTACTTCCAAATTGCTAAGTGCAGCTTTTAAGTTTCAGGTGACCATTTTTTGTTCCAGGGCTTAACAAAATTCAGGAAAATTGTTACAAAACCTGCCAAACTCAAAGAAGTAGGAAGAAAGATGAAAGAATGCGATTGGGCTTCTTGAGTCTGACTGACAGGGAGGCCTCTTTTTTTTTGTCTAGCCATACACGTAATAATATAACCAGATTTAAAAACATATCTTTTTAATATATCCACTTTTGATTTTCAAAAGAAACAATTAATATTCCTGGTATATTCAGGTCACTATTTTTTCTATTATTGTACAAGGACTATGTAGTGTTATACCTTAAAAATGAATACTTCTCTAGACACCCACCATAGTCTCATGTTTCTGTTTTTCCACAATTCAGAAAGGCTCCCTACATCCAGCTGTAACTTTATGAAAATGTCAAGTCCTGGGAGACACAATGTTGAGTTCCCAGTGTTACAGGCAAGAAGCTAGCTTAAAGTATAAGGCAGCAAGCAGATCTCCTTCCTCTTGGGGCCTGGATTTAGAGAGAAAAGATTGTATCAAAGACACGGAGGCATAAAGGTGAGCTGATGGAGTATCCATGGAGAGCAGAGATCACTGATAGGCATGGAGTTGGCTGTGCTCTGATCAGGAGCTTTGGGGGACATGGAAGAAGTTCCAAACAACTGTCATGTGAAATACGATGCATCGGGAAGAGATCAATGAAAGGACAGGGCAACTGGGGTATGGATACATGCAAAAGAGGATTTTTGGATCAGGATACCACGGAAGGTTGAGGAAAGTTTTCTAAGGGAAAGTGGCAGCTTCACTGTGACAGAGATGGAAGCTCATTATACAAGGAAACACGCTCAGATTAGAGATCCTTACAAAAGAGAAGATACTGCTGAGACTAGAATATGAAAACATCCACATGGATTGATGAATTATGTGACTGGAAATGAAGACTAAAAAAATATATCTAGAAAAATTCCAGGGTAACATTGAATTTGAGAGAATACTGGGAGTAAAATAGGTTGAAAGAAAGATCATCAGACAGGTCCTACTGGGGCTGGTATGGGCAGTGGTCTGCATTTAAGGAAATGCAGCGGGTAATGAATGACCTTGTGAGAAAAATCCAGCCCACAAGTGGAGAGATCACTCAGAGTAGCTATGGAGTGTAAGAATGAGTAGAGTTATTTTTTCTCTTGGCATGAATTAAAAGAATGGATGTAGACTGCAGGTACCGGAAGAGATGAGGGGCGATCTGAGTGCAGTAGTGGCTAAGACGCCTAAGTGAAGGAGTGGGAGAAAAGATAATTTGTGGACTCAGGATGTTTCTTCTTAATGGAACCAAGTTTCCAAAAAGGATGTGTGAACATATTTAAGATACTAGTCTTTGACTCAAAAATATCAAGGAAACATTAAGATATAACTCCAATTCAGCCAATGTAGATCAGAGTATTTGCAAAAACACCCCCAAACAAGTCTCCAAAACTCCAGTAGATTTTTTCCGTGTACTGTGATAAAGAAGTATTAAGCAAAGACGAGACTGAGAAAGGAGAAGATGAGGAAGAGAGGAGGAGGAACTGGGAAAGATAATTTGAACCAGCTTGGAAATGTAAGGACTAGAATACTAGCAGGAAGATAGAAGACAAGCAAGCTGTGAGTACACTTTTGGTACTGAATGGCCCTTTGGAGCTAATCGGCCTCCAGGTTCCGTTTCAAGTATGAGTGAGGTAGTGCAGACATGACTGAACTAATTGTCTCTTCACAGTCTTGGATAGACCATTTACTTATTACTAGGATTTTGGTATTCCTGCATTATTAAAAGGCCAAGAGGTGCAAGAATGCCTCATCCATTATTCACATTTCTTCCCAGCTTAGTGCTGGTTCCCCAGATGCCGAGAATTTATAAATGTCTGTCTGGAAAGCATTGACCATGATACAAACTGCTCTTGGGTTGTTTTCACTGCTGAAAGCAATCTGCTGTGCTTTCTTTGCATTGACCATTCCCATTCCTGTTCTATAATTAACATACTCAAATGTAGGTTTTGCAAAGTATTACCATTTTTGTGTAGATCTATGTGTGTCTATTGGGAGGGCAGTTCAGGAGATCCCAAGTATTGCTATGTCAGAATATAATTTATGTGTATGAAACATTTCAGATACCATCAATGTCTTTGGCTGTGTACTTCTTGCAAAATTTTTCATGAAACTGTTCAGAAGATCTGCCTTAATCAGACCCCATGGCTCTCCAACAAATACAGTTTCTCCCAAGAAGAATTTAAACCCAGCATGATTTGTATTCACACAGAAATATCACACACAGCAGCAAGGAGGATAAAAGAAACAACCTGAAGCCTTATGCACAGCCACGTTCACATCACTTAGTTCCGCATCAGAAAACTCAACAAGCTTATTCATTAAGAATATAGGTAGTGACCAACAAAGTCCCTTCCTCTTCCTGGATAACATCTACCATGAGAATCACACAGGTACCTATTGTTGCTCACTTTCCTACACATCCCTTACCGTCATCTTTTGAGATTGCTTCCTAGGAGCCCTGACCTGTAACCTCTATTTTTCACAATCTAACATTATTCTCTGGACAGAACCCACAGAAAGAAATACTTTGACAGATAGAAAATGTTCTTCCCTTGGCTTTCTTGACTCTTCACTCTCCCCCCCTCCCCCAAGGATGCTCTAATTGCCTTTGGCTGGCAGGCCTCCCTACTGCCATATCATGGCAGTCTTGGTCTCTGTCTGGCTCTTCAGTCAAGTTAGTTCCATAGACAAACTGTAGTTAACTGCCCACACTTGAGGCTTCCTTTCTCTATACCATTGCTGTGTGACCTAGAGCCACTTAAACTTTCCTGACCTTTGGAGTCCCTATCTGTCAAGTAGAAATAATGATACCTTATGGGGCTATTGTAAAGATTTCATAAGTTAATAAAAATATGTAGAACTTTGCCTGGTATTTAGAAGCACTCAGTAATAGTCATTATTTTTCTCTTTTCCTCTGTTATCTTTGGATATTTTCCCTTCTAACTTTAGGTGAATAATATCAACATGATACCACTGATACTGGAATCACTACATTGGGATATGTTGTCTGTTCAGAAAATCAAACCCTTATATGTTTGCTTGAAAGCATATGTTATTTTAAAACTGTTGCTCCACATAATGATTATACATATTTATAGTGTATAGTATGTTGTCAAAGAATGTAATCAATACTGAATAATTTGATTTTTATGTATATTTTGAAGTTGATTTCAAAGAAGAGAGGGGAACAGAGCTTGACAGAGATAAAGCCACATTTATATATCTAATTGTCCCTTGGATATCTTTGGATGTCAGATTTATACCCCTAACTCACTAGTCCATGGAAAAAGCACTATAGCTAACAATTGTTTGTGTCATCCAAAATTAACAGCTGATAATCCACAGAGTCAGAGTTTTAAGAGTTTGGACCTCTGGAAGGTAATTATATGATGAGGGTAGGGCTTCCCTAAATGAGATAAGTGCCATTATAAATGAGACTTTACAGACCTTCCCAGCCATCTATCTACCATATGAAGACACAGCAAGAGAACAACTGTCTGAAACCTATGGAGTCCTTACTAGAGCCTGACCCTGCTGACATCCTTACATTGGGCTTCCAGCCTCCAGCACAATGAGGAAAAATGTCTATATTTAGGCCACCTAGTCCATGGTATTTGTCATAGTTGCTTGGACTGACAAAGTAACAAAACCACATACCCTTTGCCATTGTTAGAGACAGAAGCTTGCTCTTCTTCCAGTACATTAGTGGTAGTCATCATGCTACTTTACTTGGGACCTTATATCCCTGTTTCCTTTCTTTCATTCCTAAGGTACCACCACAGCTCCATCACAATCTCCTTAATAATTTAACTGTGTCCAAGAAGTCAGAGTCATGGGTTTCATGGACACTTCCAATCATGGCTTGATTCTGTTTATACCTTTGTAGACTCCAAAGACTCTTACTGTTAACTAAGAACCATCTTATCAGTTTCCTGATATAGTAGATCTGTATAAAGGCACCAATTACCATTCACTTTTGTGTGTCTTCTCCCTGTTCCCTGTATCTAGATATCTCGAATGTTTCCAACTATCAATGCTGCTTAAAACCCTACCTTCCATTATGACAAGTCTCAAATGGTAGCTCTTGTTCAGATTTCCTTAAAATACCACATAGCTTTCTTCCCTGAACTCTCACGGAATGTAGTATCAACAGTGACATTCATCACCTTCCGACTTATCTCCTCAACCCTGGCAAACTTCCTTTATTCCTCCTTCTAGATCACAACTTCTTCAAAGGCACTTATTATATCCCTTAAAGCTTCAAATGGGATAAAACGAATGGCAATAATCACACCAGGAATTAAGCTCATTTATTCTGCAAAGCAGCAGCCTGTTGTCAAATGCTAACCCTCTCCCTCACAGCTCTCATAAAAAGAATGGGAAAGCATATAAATGAAGTCGCACACAAGAGGGACATACAGTATGAGCAATTACGCCAATTTCTTTTATAGGAAGAACGCAGCTGAGATAAACATGGAAGCAGATTATTTAGCATCCATGGGTTTCGTTGCCAAATTCTTCTACATTTTTCATTAAAAGAGCTCAAGTAAGGTAAACAAAAGTAGCCCTTGGGGGGACATCAGCACAGAGAAAACAGCTTATCTATTAGCATGGCCTCTGAGATCTATCTATTTGTGTTACTGCTTCCTCTGGGACTCATTGCTTGTGTTTGCCCACCTGTCCAGAGTGGGCAATGTCCACACCTCCAGGTGTGCAATGTCACTTCAAACCTTAGCTTGTAGGTGAGGGTGAAGAGGACAAGTCAGGTGGGAGACACTTACCTTTAGGGCATCCTGTGTATCATCTAGGCAGTAGACTCTAATGCTGTACTCCAGAGAGGAACAGCAAAGGGGCCCAAAGATGGCCAGTTTCAGGCGCTTTGCTGCAGCTTTGGTGGTAGACTGCCCAACCAGGGCATAGGTGCTGAGGTTCTCTGTGAGAATGTGGCAAGCCTCTGCATCCAACTGAATGTAACAGGGGGTTGTGAAGTTTTCCTCTCCTACCACCACCACATCCTGGGAATGAGAGGGAAGGGGACATGTCTAAGCTACCAACAACACGTGCCAGTTACCATGGATGGTGACAGATAAACAGGAATATGTCCCTGAGTTCTGATTCATCTTTCTCCAACTTTGTAGTGCCTGTTTCCATTCTCAATCATCAGTTCTTTCCTTGATTGTCTATATACTCATGCAATTATTTGCATAATGTCCTGAAATCTATGTGAACATCCAAAAGGCAATAACAGATTATCCCTTTCAGTTCAGTATACTTGGGTAAATTAACTGCTTCAGAGAATTGGCTGTTTTAAATCTTTCAATATCTTATTTAATTGAAAAGTACAAAATATTGAGGTGCCACCATAGCATATCAACATTTCCCAAGAATCCATCTTTAAAAATAATTAGAGAAATTTTAAGGAATAAAGACATTATATAATATTACTGTACTTTTTCCTTCAAAACTAACACCATAGTTAATTCCTCAGAATGGTATAGTTTCCTATAAATAATCTCAGCTCTCAGAGTCTCTACAAGGTGAGCTATGAGAAGTACATACTGCCTTTTCTATACTTCTCTGATATTTCATGTAATCATTAGTTTCTTATTTTAGACAAAAATATTTAGTAAGAAAGAAGTAGAAGTGATGATTTTTGTAAAAATAATTGCTAATTCAACCATATTTTGATTTATTCAAATGGCTTAAGGTACATACTAACAAAGAGAGAGGATCAGGTCATTAAGTCAAGGGTCAACATCACACTTGCTCTCAGGGCAGTTGGCAGGGAGGAAGGTGATAAGAAGTGCCGAAGACTGGGCAAGTAGAGCATGTGGCTGGGTTAAGAGTACAGTGTCCCCTGAGATCAGCCAATGGGATGTCAAGGCCAGGGCCAGCAGAGCCATGTTTTACCACAGACAAGTACACGTTCTGATTTTTATATGTTCTCCTCACTTTTAAGTGATTCAGACTGAGAAGACAATCCCATGTGTGGGAAATAAAATCCATGCATGACTACCACTCAGTTTCTGATTAGGGCATTTTCTCAACATGGAGCAGGAGTCATTTCTACAATGCTGTCTACTGTGTCCTAGCAGGTCTGACTCATGCTAAGTGACAACTACTAAAAAGAAAATAAGTGAATGAAATTTAGTCTCTAGGTCTGGATAAAGACATGAATGCAGTAGCTGCCCCAGGTGAGAGTGTATTGGCTAGGCCTTATGACATCATCTGAGACATTATGAGCTGCATTTTAACATCAAGGTATTAATAGTTTGAAGTAAATATAAAGGAGTCTTACACTGAGAAGAAAAGCATCTCAAGGCCTCTAGGTTTGCTCTAGGCCCCAGGACACTGGACAAAGAAGGACCTGATGGGATGGTTTAGCAAGTCTTAAAGGTGTGGAAAACAGTGTGCACCATGGCCCAGACATGCTTTGAGAGAGTTTGCATGAGAACATCCCTTGCACTTTTCTGGACTAATGTGATGTGGGATAATAACGTTCACTGTAAAGATTTGCCACTCATATTGGTTTAAAAAATGCAAATTGGCCAGTATAGGCATGAAGTATAGGAAGGGCTACCAGATCAGGAGAATTCTGGGAAGAGAAAAAGGTAGATATGGGGTTACCAACCAGATGTTGAGGAATCAAGATGAGAATGCCTTAATGAGAAAAGGTACCAAGCCATGTGGTTAAATATAGAAAACAATTATGGGTTAATTTAACTTGTAAGAGCTTGTTAGTAATAAGACTGAGCAACAAGCCAAACATTTTATAATTAATATAAGCCTCTGTGTGTTTATTTGGAACTGAATGGCTGTGGAGGCAGGACAGAAACTTCTGTCTACACTAATGAGCTCATCACTGTATCATTGTTAGCATCATTCAGCCCCTGAAATAGAAAAGGCATTAAGCAGAAAATCTTGCAAACACTTAAGATAGGGCTTTAGATTTTTTTTGATAGTTTAAAGCTTAAATGAGATTAAAGTTAGGCCCATTTAAATCTATTTAAAGACTTTAGTTAAAGGACAATCCCAAATTCAACCTGAATTTTAAGGGGCTCTGATAAGGAATGATTCCCTCATATGGTCAAGTGCAGTCAATGTTCATAGAAGGGATAAAATCTAGCTAATCCCAGAATATCCTGAATTTCTGTTAAATCAGTTTTCCTAAAATATTACAGCCTTAAACTTTCATGTATATCTTTATAATCTTTTTGCTAAAAATAACATAGGTAATTATATTGTAACTTCACATTTTGCATATGTAAATTTTTATATAAATACAGATTTATACTGTCATTTACATATATATTTGATAAATATATTCTTGAGAGGCAGATGCTAAGTGAAGAGTTCTGATGTAAGTTCTGGTGATTCCCCCACCCCCTCCTCAACATGTGGTACCATTCCCCTAACAGTGAGTTCCCTGGGACTTCTGATCATCCCATTTCTGATTTTGAACTTCCCCCCTCCTTTTGCCCATCAGTCAGAAAATTTGGTCTCCTGGATTTAATTTTGAGTGCAATCTAAAAGATCATGATGCTTACCTTTAAAAATAAAGGTCTTCCCTACTTACACCAATGATGGCCACAAGTGCCATGCTTCTCCTATGGACACTCACTCACCTCCCACTGTCCCTGTACTGCCTGGTTCTTGAGCTGGATCTTCCAGTCCTCAGTGTTGGGGTCTGCACAATGATGCAGAGTAAGGATGACAGGGAGGGTCAACAGAGCTCCAGAAGGCATGCAGAGTGAGGATGACAGGGCGGGTCAACAGAGCTCCAGAAGGCCCACAGCTCACCACAGGGGTCAGTAGGGTCTGAGAGTCTTCCATGGGGGGCCTGCAGGGAGAGCAGAGAACCATAACTGTGACATTTCCACAGAATCAATGCACTGTGTAATCACTGAGATCTAAAGTTGGATAAACAGTTCAAATCACTTCCTCATAACACTTGGGGGGTAGGTGGGGAAGACAGAAATAAATGGAAGCCATGTTCTCTATAGAGAGGCTTTCATCTTGTAAAACGGGAGGTCTTTCTGACAGCAGTGCATTCGCCAGCATCTCTTTGATCCTGTCCTCAGACACAGGGCTGCCTTGGATAGTTTTCTCTGAATTCGTGCTCTGGTACTTTCAGGATGGAAGGAGAAAGGACAAAATCCTTATGAAGTTACATAAGCAGCTTTTCTGATAACTCTCGCCACTGGTCTCACAGTGTTTTAAATACTTTAGTGTTTTCAGGGCCTAACTTGAAAAATACTTCAAAAAACTCACTTTAGAATGAGGACACCCTACAGCTAAACTTAGTCCAAATGACTTTCAGGCATAATTCAGACTAGTATAGCAGGATTCATTCTTTCAAATGTGAGCAGAAAGAATATGGGATGGCATTTCTATAGCAAGTTAAAATGAGATCACATCACTTATGTATTTCACACACAAAAAATCTGGTCAAAAGGGACTCAAAGATTCAAACTGTTTCTCTCTCCCACTCTTTCCCCTCTTTTCTCCTTCCCTCCCTCTTTCCTTCCTTCCTTTCCTAAACTCTGTCAGTCTGTTTAACTTACTTTACTAAATAAAAAACAAATGAAATAATTAGTTCAAGCTGCCAATTAGTATGTGAGGAAATCATTCCAAAGTTCCTGAGCTTGCTCATCTATATCACAACACACAAGGGCTGTTTTGAGATTAGACTAGAGGCATGTTTCTAAAGAGTTCTCAAGCAGACGGCCACAAGAGCATGGCTACAGGAGTCGCAGGCCCTTGAGACTTCAGGAGGGTCATCAAGCACCTTCTCCCCAGAACAAGAGGCTTATGACAATATACTGACACATGGTTAGTGCCTTAGACATATCCAAATTTATAGTCCATTGTTTAGATCTTATCCATTTTTTTCTTAACTCATGTTATAATCAACTAGAATGAACAGTCTGCCTTCTAGACAATTGTGTCCATATATCCTTGGTCTGCTAACTAGACCACTTTATATCATGTATTTGGAGATTATTTTGACACCTTTTCCCTTACAGAACAATCCCAACTTTACTAATGTCATCCCACAAGCAAGGATTCCGATTCTCTCCTTATGTTTCTTTCTTCAAGTTCATGTGGGAGTTTCCAGTGATTCGGTGTCTCGTTAAATTGGGCATCCTGAAATTAACCTAAAACTTAAGTGTATTGCTATTTTCTTTAACTTAGATTAAATAGATACAGTCATAGATCACAAGTCATTGCATTGGATTATTCTCAATCAAGTAATAACATAAATATTAAGTGCCAGGCTCTAGTTAAGAGGGGAGATGGAGACACTATTATTAAAAATATACCTCATTAAAGTAGGCAATGACCACCACTGGAAGCTAAGTCATTTGTTAAAGCTGAGTCCTCAAATATTCCTAACATAAATGTTTTTAGGTTACATCAAGTCTATATAGTTTTGTGTTAGATGGGTTTTGAACCTAGACATATTTACATTTGTAATTTTGCTTCATTAGATTTAATATATAGTTCTAAATGCTATGTCATTCTTCCAAATATTGTTTACCCCCCATAGTCTCCTATCCTTCATAAAATAGGTATGTCTGCCATTTTTGTGTTCCTTATAGTCACTGGCAACATTGTAACTCAAGAATAATACAATGATAAGACCTTTCCAAGGTCATCACTTGAAGCTTCTCTCTCATTAAACATCAATACCTTTCAGTTATTTAGCTGAAACAAATATAAACCCATTAAAATGCATATCTCAGTGACATTCTTCTGTCTTATTCATGTGGAAATTTAAAGGACATCTCAAATTCTTCCATAATTGCAGTGGCTACCTGAAATTGATTTGTCTCTTGTTGTTACCTATAGTTTATGTATTATTTATCACATCATCTAGAGGTTAGTAAATATGTTCTATCCTCATCTAATGCTAAATAAATGAACAGAGATAAATGAATGATGGCAGCTACTATTATTTTTAACATTGTTAGAAGATAATTCTTCATAGATTTATTATGATAATCGATGTGCTTAGTTGTTTTCAAGGATGAGTCTCTACAGTTGTCTTGAAAGATAAAGATGAAAGATAAAGATGTCTATATCTGAAGGAAATGATAGGCAGGGCTGTGTCTCATTATGAAAGACTTAGTTTCCCCATGTTTAGTGGTCCTTTACTAAAACTGTGTGGATATCACCTGAACCACTTTGAAATACCTTGGGAACTTCAGCTCGAAAACTAACACAAAATTGATGATAATGTAGAACATGCCTGTCTTGCCTAAAAATTGGTGCTTTCTATCAGTACTGACACAACGATGACAGCTAACATGATAGCTCATAAGTGAAGCCAAACATAAAGACTTACAGTTGCCAGCCATCACCATCCCTAAAGCCTACTATTTGGTCTTTATTGCCCTTAAGAAGCTCAGACTCTCACGGCTTTCTCCTTCCACTGAGGTTGTACCAGGATATCACCAATTTCTGTCTTTTCCTTTTATCCTCCCACGTGGAAGCCTCAAAGGAGCTTTGCTTACTTCTGGGCTTTAATATCCTGCATAGCATGTTTCCTTTATTAAACCTATAGTTTCCTAGGCATCTTGGGGATGTACTTATATTTGGAATCATAGGGTTTCTGGCAATAGCTTAAGATCTCAGTACTATTCCTTCTACCACTTTGGTTTCCATTTTCTCTTATCATAGTCTGTCTTGAATAAGGTAGCTTATTCCTTCTACCACTTTGGTTTCCATTTTCTCTTATCATAGTCTGTCTTCTTCCGTTTGTCTAATTTCCCCCTATAAAATGTAAGTGAAGCTTTGCTTTCATTTTGTCATGATTAATATTACACTATCTGCTTTGGCAGTGACTTTATTGTTGCATAATATCACTTTTCTTACCAGGAGAGAAATAAAATTGCAATGGTTGTGCTTTCCAGAGGCCTCCTCTTACCTTTATTTACAAGTCTACCTTGAGAGGTGAGCAGTCGAATTTACAGAGAGGGACCTCAAATAGATCCACGGCAAGTAGCCCTAGCAAAGATCTGAAGTTTGGAATAATCTTTCTGTCAGGCTGGTGTCAGCAGCCTGTGCTCTCACTGCCCAGGAACATAAGGGAGAGAGGAATACCCCTGCTGAGTTGAGGAAGTGCCAGTTGGATACCCCTGGCATGCTGTATTGATGGCCACTATTCTTGGAGGAGGGAAACCACATGAGGGTGGGTGAGGAGGGGCTTTTGATGTCAAAAGAATTTATTAACTCAGTGAGGTGCAAAAATGAGATGACTAGGGAAGTGATGAAGACAAATTCATAATGGGATGAAAAACAAAGACTTTAAGACTTTCATATACTTCCAGGATGAAGGAAGTGGTAGAAACTGAAGGCACTTTCCAAGGGTCAGAAGTGTCTAAACTCATCCAGCCATTACTTACATAAATGGAGGGTACCAACTAGTCGAAACTACATGTAAACCTCACATATGATTTTGTAGAGAAGGGCTCCAATCTATTTATGTCCTATGAGCTATCTGAGTTACTCAAGCAAACCGTCAATTGCAGATGCCAGGGATGTGAACACAGAACAAAAATTAGCTACAGAAGCAGCAATTAAATAGAAACTCAGCAAAGTTCAAAGACCAAAGCAAACAAACAAAAACCTATCAAGAATCAAATCAACAACTAGATAGGTCTCTGTGCCCCTAGGACAAAGGTCACGAGGAGAAGGTGGTTTTTCTGTCAGGGAAATTTGCCTTCAGCCTCTGCTGACTGTCAGTGAGAAGATGATGTACACAGAACAGCATCACAGAAAACTCTCAAGTGAGCAACAGCCTTAGCTGCCCATGCACACCTGTTAGCTGAGCTGTTCACCTCATTAGCCCTCTCCAGAGCTATTGACACACTTACCTGAGCGTACAGGCCCAAAGATGGGCACCTTGAGATTTCATGTGCAAATCTCCTCTTCTTTCACACTGGTGTGTATGGGGTTGCTTTCCACAAGCTTAGGGACTTTGGAGAGGATCTGCCTCTATCAACCTCTGTGTGGACACAAGGTGCCTTCTGTGGATGCACAGCTTTCTGTCAGGTCCTTCAGGGTGACAGTCCCAGCCCAGGCTCAGCCGCCTTTTAAAGTATGCACCTTCACACAGAACTGGCAACTTGGAAATACTTATACACTGTGCTCCTGACAGGGAATGTTCAACTTGCTTCCTATAGAAAGTACACACACACACACACACACACACACGCACACGCACACTGTGCTCCTGACAGGGAATGTTCAATTTGCTTCCTATAGAAAGTACACACACACACGCACGTGCACACGCACACACACACAAGCCACTCTGAAGGGCATGTTGCTATTTTTTCCAGACAGGGAGAATCTATCCCCAGATTAAGTCAGAACAGCTAAGCATTGTGCCCTAGCCGAATCCTTGTGGAATTATTTTTTCTGAGCATATACTTTGGGCCCCCACAATCTACTTTCCTTGTTAATACAAATAGTTTTGTTAGCTTGTTGCCACTTTTGTCTTAGGATGTTTGTGACTCAAAATACATTCCTTATGAGGAAGCAGAGAGGAAGGAATTGCGCTCCTTCTAGGCATACTGTTCATGTAGATCTTAAAACATAGCAAAGCCTTTCTTTTCTCTTTATCTCCTTCCTTCCTTCCATTTTTGAGACACTAAACTCCAGAATTTCCTGTCTTGGCCTGATGAGTACTAGAGTTTTAGACATACCACCACATCTGGCTACCTTTCCCCCTGGAAGCTATGAAATAGCCAGGTGATTATCTACTCCCAGGAAATGTTCTTCATCATGCCACTATTTAATATTCCTGCCGCCCACCTGACTTTATCTGTACTT